AATGGGGATATTGTATTTGTAGTACAGAGAGTTTGTTGAAATTAAAGGAGAGAAAATTAGAGTCACTTGTTCACGTATGGTTGTTAATATAGACAATCATATATACTTACACGTCTCATTGATCATTAAAAGCTCTTTAAACTGCCATGTGTATCTATATATGTAGAAACTCTCAAGCTCATCAGGACAAAGGCATTAAATGATTAGACTACAAATACGTAATTACCATATCAACATTATTCCATTCATTTGTTCTTGTGTAGTTGTGTTCATCATCCAATTACTCTTTTTCGACTTCAAATTCGAGATTAGAAAAGTTCCAAAACCGTGTGAAAATATTTTAAAATTATGGGACATGAATAGCGAAGTTTGCAACAAGGAAGAATGGAGAAAATGAGAAAGTAAAAAAGTAAAAGAAGGAAAATAGTACGCGCAGCTTAATGCTTTGTCCGAGGTATCATACACCCTCTCTCAATGTCTCTCGCTTTCTCTTGTTTTATTTTCTATCATTGATTTTGGCCTTTAATCAAATTAAATATATGAAAAGGTCGTAACTATTTAATTAAACATGACGGGATTAGACAAGTTTCACGAATAAGTACGATTTGAAAATAGAATGAAAAATATTGAATTTTCATATCTTAATGAGCTCCAGGGTAAGTTGTTGTCAGTTTCCACATAAACTTTTTTTTCATACATAGGTAGCAGCACCTTCATCTAAAAATTGGTTAATATTTTTGAAAGTTCCAAAGATTTAGTTTATGTATATACAGTTTGTTCCGTGTTTAAATGTCACGTAAGCAGACATAATTTTTACTTTTAACTACATCATCATATAATTGGAGTTTGGATAGATCGAAATGAATTCCAAAAAAAAAAAAGGTTCTAACTAACAGAATTAGTATAGACATGGTGTGTATTTGTAATTAGTTATTGTGGTTCAATCGGCTTTCGTATTGTTTTAAACAAAACCGCATTATTTTTCCCATTGATCCAAAATGTCGAAAGTAGATATGTTGTACTGCGCCACGAACAAAAATGATGATACGCACATGATTGATCAAGCAGAGCAAATAGGATGCCATTAGATACGTTTGTTTGTCATTATTACTTTAAAAATAAAATTATAAATATATACAATGTAATTTTTATTTTTATTTTGAAAACAGGTTTGCTATATACAATGTAATTTTACCAACATATATTATCTCTCTTTTAGGACCAAAATTATTGCGGCCATTAGAAAACAAATGTGTTAAAATTTAATAATTATCTTATCTGCACTACATTTAATGTAGTAAACAATTTACTTTGTAAGTTTTATCTCACACCGTTTGTTTTATTTGCTCCGTTTTGTTGTTTTAACCACAAAATTTAATAATTATTTACTCTTTTTGTTTCAAAAGAATATTGTTTTAGAGTTTTATTTTTATTTTACAAAGAATATTATTTTTATTTTCAACATAAATTTTTAAATAAAAATCCAGTTTTAACCTTGTTATATTAATGTATTAATTAGTATGATAAAAAAATTTAATGTATTTATAAGGAATATAAAAGATTTTTTATTAATTTTATTGATATATGTGTAAAACAGAGAGTATATATTTAGTATTTAATCTACTTGTTTAGGTCAATTTGAAGATAATTTTGATTATTTGTTTGGGTAAATGTGATCTTAAGCAATAGGTAAGTGATACCACAAACACAAAGGACTTCTGAAATTGGAGGCGATGGTCCCTTCTTATTCTTCCTTTTGTCCATTCGGTGTCAATCAAATTGTTCCTTTCTCCTTTATTTATTTTTCTGATCTCCTCTTTTTACCTCTTAGATATATACTTTTATTTTTAAAAAAAAAATCGTAATCATTTTCTAACTTATTCTTTTTGTTTGTTTCTTTTTTAATGGAGGAGATGATTTGTTTTCTTAGATATCGAGATACAGTAATATCTTTTTGGTTTTGATTTTTCGAGCTTTGTTGTTAGATGCTTTTGTTTTGTTTTATTCCCGCCTTTTAAGCACACTCATTTTTGCAACTTAAGAGTGCTTTGCATAGTGGTGTGACCACAAGCTCACTAACTATATGTCTTCCGTTTCCCCATTTATTTGTGCATCAATTTGAATATATTAGTACTTATATATATATATATATATATGCCATATTGCCATTATATTGTTGCATGGAAACTTTCAAAATCTAGGCATGACATGCTTTAAAAATTTCTTTACTAATATATTCTTGTATTTGTCCTTTCAAGATTGGAATAGCTTGACTTTTAGACCATTCTAGGTTAAACTTTACCGATTTTGATCTTAAATCTTAATTAGAAACTATACAGATACATCTTATGTGAATATAACAGCACTTCGACATCTATATAATTAATTTTTGTACGTTTCTTACACGATACTTTGGTTCAAGTTGACAGCATTATTTAAAAATGTGTTGTAATATTGTCTCTGTCAATCTCTAAAATAGATTGTTCAAAGGTATAGACTAGCTAATAAGAAAGGGTCCATATTAATAAAGAAGTTCAAACTTTGACTTCGAATATATCAAATCCAAATTGGTTAAATTCAGGCCTTTCACATCCTTAGGAGTTAGGACCATGCATGAGATTGGAAAAACACTTGCAATGAGTGAACTGTCACATAATCAAGTATTACATTATTATACAATGAAAGAGTTTATACTCATATAAATATTTTATAAATAAACTATACAAGGAAGATTAGTTTTTTTTATGTAGTTAGTGTTGAACCAGAATATCACTTATATTAGTAAGTAATAGATAGTTGTGGATTTTAGAGAACATATCTTATTAATAGTTTAAAAGCTTGAATGATTACAAAGATGTCACAACATTAGAAGTCTTGCTGAAGTGAATAAAAGCTTTTATGAGTAATAAACTAGAAAGTTTAAAATTTTATGTCTTGTTCTTCTGTTTTTTAGAAATTCTATATTGGTCTTCAAACTATTCAAGATTTTTTATTTATAAAAGTTATGAGGTCAGTTGTAGCGAACTTCATTTTCTTTAATATTTTGGGATTATTCTCATATTTCAAATATGGAAAAAAAAAATTCTTCTGATTATATAGAGATTTCCTATTATCATTGAATAATTTTCTTTAATTCATTAAATTGGCGTGTTCTCGACGGACTTAGATTACTGCTGAAAAAAACCTTTTAAAATGTATTTATTTCTCTTCTAACAGTTAGCACGAAAACATTACGTGAAAACAGAAATAATGTTTTTAGAAGGAGACGCAAATTAAAATCATAAACTGATATCATAAAATAAAAGCAATTGATAAAATTATATCACCTAACGATCGATGTTAAGCTCTAACCGTGAGTATGATAATTAAGTACACGCTATCAAACTCAAATGGGTTACGCTCGACAAATATAATCGACAATGGACAAACATGACCCGCGTGTTAATCTATATACCACTTCTAATCATACTTTTATTTTTCTAAAACAGACTGTTAAGTAAATCGACTTTAATTGCAACTTCAGTGGTTTTGATGGTACATCGACCTTCTATTAAAATCGTCCGTCATAACATCTAGCATTATATAGAAACTGACTGTTAACTATATCGACGTAGGAATAGCGAAACACACATAGTTGTTGCAAAAATAGCGAAACATATTTACGTAGCGAAAATCATCAAGACCACTAGTTTTTATAAACTTGAATTAAGGATATTAGTTATGGAAACTATGTTCTTCCGAATTAGATAATCTGTGAAAGAGTAACTTTCTAATTTAACTTAATGGTTGTTAAAGAAAAAACACAACTCGTATGTCAAATACTACATCCAAAATGTATTATATTAACTAATTTTGCTGGAAAGGACAATATACATTTATCTTGTTTCAAAATATCACATAGCAAAATTCAAAAAAAAATATATATATATATATATATATATATCACATAGCAATTGCTATCTAAATAACATTTCTCCTTCATTTTAATATTATAAGATAGTAATAATAATAAGTAATAACAACAATTTTGAGAATATCTTTCTTATTAAATTTAAGGTTGTTAAAGAAAAAAACATGATTCATCTTTTTTTTGTACAATAAGTTTTTCTGTTAAACTTAACCATCAAAATTACAACGAATCAAATAACAGAAAATAAAAATAGTATAAACTAAATAAAAAAAAACAGATATTCACGACTCATCGAAAAAACTACTATAATAACTAATTTTGCTGGAAGTGGAAATGACGATATACCTTTATTTTCTTTCAAAATATGACATAGCAACTGTTATATGCATACTATTTCTCCTTCATTTTAATAAATATATATTTTTTTATTCTTTCTCTAAAAGATTTCCTTCAGTTTAATATTGTAGGATAATAATACTAATAATAACAATTTATGAGAATATAATTTTATATATAAATTAAGAAAAAAATCATTAATGAGAATAAAAAACGCCGTGTGTATTATGTAATGTTGTTTATGTGGACGAGTCGATGCTTGCTCATATCTATCACATTAAAAGTGGTCCTAGGAACACAAAACACAAACTCACTTTAATCGGGTCCACGTGGCAAAGCCAGGCAAAGGATGGTCATAGCCACGTGGGATATGTGGTCCATATCCGAATCAACGTGTCTTAAAGTGCCACGTGTTTTGACTACCCAAGCGTGACAGCCTGTTCCTCTATCACCAAGCTTCGAACTTTTCAAGTCGTTTCTCCTCTTCCCTCCTTTTTTTTCTTTAGCTTTCCTAATTTTATGCATTTCATGAAATAATGCAAAAAACTTTTCTTTTTAAATTTGCCTTCATAAAAAAAAATCACAAGATATTTCGAAATTATTTACATTTGGGTAAAGCTTGCCTTCAACGACAAACTGTAAATAAAAAAGTAAGTCTTGTTTTCATATGTGATTTAAAAAAATAATATAACACTGTATGTTGTATAGTCATACTCATAAACCGATTTGTAATATTTATGAGTGTAGTCCAATAAGTTTAAAAGTATTTAGTCTTCACAACTAAAAAATCAACTTTGTATACAACATCAACAATTTTTTTTGTAACACAACAACAGAAGCTTTTAACATCCATAATCCTTTTTTGTAACAACAAGAATATTATAATGGGCCAATAAGCCCAAAAACATTGGGCCTTGAACTCAATACGATGACTCCCAGCTTTTCGAAGCTGTCAAGATCTTGGACAAAGACAGAACAATTTCATCCATCGATGGACGACTCAAATGATCTCTCTTCAAACAATCAACAACCAATCTAACCACAAAACTCACTAATCCTTCAGGTAAGAAGCTTCCACTACTCAAAATCTCCTCCATTGCATTACCTTCATGGATCTCTTTCTTTAATTCAGAAGCTTCTTTACCTGTAACAATTTCCAAGAACACAACTCCAAAAGCATAAACATCAAGCTTAGTCGAAACTAACCCATGTTCCAAATACTCAGGAGCTAAATAACCTCTCGTTCCTTCCACATGCTTGGTCAACACGTAATCTCCTCCTCTCTCTGTCGATCTCGCTAACCCTAAATTCCCAATCTTTGCTCGAAACTCGAAGTCGAGGAAGATGTTTCCGCTGGTTAAATCCCTGTGAACGTAAGGAGGATCAGCGAAGTTGTGTAGATAGTTAAGCCCCGTTGCTATATCCAAAGCGATTTGTAATCTTTGAGTCGAGCTCAAGAGCGATTTTGCGTAAATCCAATCGCTCAAGCTTCCATTAGAAGCGTGTTCGTAGACTAAGTACCAATCTCCTTCATGGAAACAGAATCCAGAGAGACGTATGATGTTGAAATGGTTAAGTTTCGACAACAAGTTTATCTCCTCGGACGCGTTTCCTTCGATTTTCTTGATCATCGCACCATCGCCGTTGATTTTTCCGATGTACCCTGATCCTCCGATCGAGCTAGAGGATGTGAAATCGCTCGTCGCAGATTGAAGCTCGTGAAATTTGTAGACTTTTAAAGTATCAACCACCATACCTGATAAACCATCCAACGGATCGAATTCTGATTCTTGCTCTGAAATTGATTTCTTGGCCGTGAAGCTATCGAGATTTCCGTTTTCCTCTTTGTTTATAGGTTTCTTCTTAGCCAGACAGAAGATGGCTAAACCAATCAGACTCAAAACCAAAGCTCCTCCTAGTACTCCGGCGAGAACATAGACCCAAGTTCTCTTCGGTTTCCCACCATCCGGCGACAATGGAGGAGATACCGGAGTTGGTGAAGGAGGAGGAGGAGGAGGAGTTAAAGAATTGAGATTTGAAGGAGGATTCTGTAAAGGAACCAGTACCGTGGTGAAGGGGAAAACTCCAGGTTTCTCAAAAGACATTTGGTTAGCTTCTAAAGTCTTGCTCGTCTCGACGCCGAATCTCTCGCTGATGATCTCCACCGTGTCTCCGAAAACAACGGCATAGCTCACAAGATAGTTCACGCCGTCTTCACGGACTTGTTTAGCCGTGGGACACGCGCAACGAACCGGAACAACGATCCTCATACCAGGAACTAAAGATTCAGACGAAACATTGTTCTGTCTCTGCAAAGCTTGACACGTGGAGAGACCCTCAAGAGTGTCGTTCGCAATGAAGAAATACGAATCCTTTGGCCGGATTGTGTAAGTGAGATTGGATTGCGAATAGCTGTTGTTGTTGCCGGAGCAAGAACAAGTTACAGGGATGATAACTCGTTGATCAGAAGGGAAAGAGGTTGTTGTTGAGGCGTTGTTGAGGGAGGAGAGGAGAGAAGAGTCAACGGAGAAGAGGGAAGAGATGGAAGAGACGGTGGAGAAAGGAGGAGTTGATCGGAAAATGACGTAGGTCGAGCAGGTTTTGTTGAGGCCGTTACAGGAGTAACCAAGAACGGAGGTTGAGTTGTCTGCGACAGAGCAATTGGTGGTTGATTTGCCGACGTAAGGCTGTTGCGCGGTTGCGAAAGAGGAGAGACTTGAGAAGAAGAAGAAGAAGAACAAGAGATGAAGTCGAAACGAGTTCTTGTCGGAGATCATTGCGATTCTGCAGGATATCTTTCTACAAGTTTTTTAATTTAAAGGAATCCGCCGTGGGGAAAAAGTCAACTGTTCTGTAAAGTCAAAAGGAACAAAAGTGGGGAGATTGGTCTCTTCACGATTGAATGAATATTTTTTTTAGTTTCGTTGAATTATTAGAATGGATCATTTATTATATAATCTGCATCATATCTTCTAACAAACCATTGATATTTGTCCATCAAGATTTGAGGAAGAGAGACCCTTTGAAGCCGCCAAATACGACTCCAGAGAATGATGAATGACACAAGACAAGATTCTGTCTTCGTTATTACTACAGTATATGGTTTTCAGCGAGACAGAAAGTTGACCAAAAACAGTTGTCCCAATTGAAGAAACTGTGTGGTCACCATTCAAAACCTAAGACTACAAAATCAAATCAAACGCAGAAACCTGGAATGGGTTGTATTCATCAGCTATGTTCATATTCTTAAACAACCATGAAAGGATTCATGGTGATCTTATCTGGAAACAACCAAAATGGAACAGCACTTAAGTTCTAAATCTCCCCTATGTTGTCTGTACCACGCATCACACCGTGAAGAAGTCTACAGATAGTTAACGAATTTGCGAAATCTTTCAAAACAAGACAACCTGAGCGCAGATCACACCACCAGTGCATCTACTACTACACAGCTATACTTTAGGAAGAAGATGTATAGATACAAGATGTATGAGTTTGTTGAAAAGTTAGTGATGAGTAAATCAATCAGATATCAGTTTCAAAACACTTGTCAAAGTCTATATGTAAGCAACCCTTATGCCTTATTATATGTCATAAACATATAAATTCTAACAACAACTAGTTTTCACAAGATGCAGAGACAAAACAACAAAGGCAAACAAAAAAAACATATAGAAGAGTAGTGTAAATAGCACCTTATAGACCCAAGTTTCCTCTTCAAAGAAAAACACAAGAGACTCAGCAGCTATTAACCGTATTTACAAAACATTGTTTTGGAACCAAAGTAAAAGAGAGTTTTGGATTATGCATACCTTTGCAAATAAAAAAACCACAAATTTTTTTCCATCACCAGCAAAGGAATACTAACACGCCAAATCCAACGAGGAGCGCAAGTTTCTTCAGATACGCATCGCTTTGGTTCTGGTCACGATCTTGTCCATGAGCCGGAACTCCACGGAAACCGGTATGGTAACCACCGTACGTCGTACCGTAGAGCGCCGCGTCGGGGAATCCATGGAACTGAAAGTTAAACAGAGAAGGCAACAAACCACCGACACCGAAACTGAAGTTCCCGATCCTCGTTGTCGCCATCGGCATAAACCCTCCCATCAAACCAACACCGTAGTTGAAAAGGTTACTCGCTGCGTCGGCCTGAGGAGGAGGTTGAGGAGGAGAGGCGGTCTCGGGTCTTTGACCGGCGGGTCGGTTCGGAATCCGCATTCCCGGGTAACGTTTCTTTCTCGGGTCGGTCTGGTTCTTGCCTCTGCCGTAGAGAGGCACGAGCTTGTCGTCTTGAACCAGAGCTTTGCAGACGGGACATTCTTGAGAGTGGGAGTGGTGGTGAAGCCAACGGTATAAGCAAGGCCAGCAAAAGAGATGACCACAGAGAGTTACGATCGGATCTTGAGCTAACTCGAAACAAATGTTGCATTCAAAGTCGTGGTCTTGCTCGTTTGCTCCATTGTTATCAGAGTAAGAAGAAGACGTGCTAGTTGATTCTCCTTTCATCTTATGATAATCAAAAAAAGTTACTGCAAAACCAAAGTTATGAACTTTCGAATTAGAATAACCCTAAATCAGGATAGTAGACAAAACCCAAGAATCTAATTCGTATTACCCAACAACCAAATTCAAAACCCTAAATCTTTCCAAGAATTAGATATAAAGAGAAGATCGATTTGGACCGACAGAGATAAATCGATCAGTGACCAAACAATGCGGATAATCTCAATGAATCCAATTCTCAGATTTGCTAATTGAAAAAGAAAAAAAAATTGTTGAGAGCAGCAAACTTACATGAAAATTGAAGGTTTCGACTTTCAATCAGCCACGAAACAAAAGACAAGATCCCTAAAAAGAAGAGATTCAGACGAAACTAAAGAGGAAACATGACATCGTGGGAAAACAGAATCCTACTGTTGGGAAAAAAGAAGAATGGTGTGCACCTAGAGAGAGAAAGTCTTAAGGCTGTTTCTGACATTTGGATTTTATTTTTCCTTTTTTTTTTTTTTCTCTCGTTGGATATTTTGATTAATTAAAGGCCCAATCGAAATTATCTTTCATAAACTGAAAAAGAAGCCCAAGCCTGTTTATTATATATTCTTCATTAATTTTTTTTTTCTTCAGTTTCCTACAAATTTTGTTTGAATTTTGGGTTGGCCGTCAGCCTTCAAACTATAAGTTTTCTACTTAATTCCTCCCAAACTAAAGACCTCTGTCTATTCTCACCCAAACAATTTATTTTCTGTCTATTCTCTCAAATTCAGTTAGAAATTAAAATCACGATCAATTTACAAAATTGTGTTTTGGTTAGTTTGCATTTGGTGGGGGGGAATATGTAAAAAACAAATTGGGAAAAACTTCATTTAAAGTCTGAACTTTCAAATTTCAGCCATTTAAAGCACATATTATCACAAAGACAAATCAAAGAACAAACTTTTAGGTTGACTATATTTTAAATCCTAAACTTTTGTTGACCGAACCAATTTAAACACATCGTTAACTGGACTAACAGCTCAATATAACAGAGTTAAATCCCTTTAAACTCGACGTGAACACAAAAACAACGTCGTCTCATTCACATAAAAAATCCAAAAAATCCCCAAATAAAAAAATCAAATTCCTAAATCGATTCATTCATCATCTTCTTCAATCTTGATCTTCTTCCTCTCTTCTCTCTCTCAATCCTCGACTTTTTGGTTTCTGTCAATTGTTTTATACATGTTCATATCCTGTGTGAGGTTGCATGAAAAACCAATTCTAAAGAAAACCAATTTATTCTAGAAACAAACTGGTCATAGAGAACTCTAGAAGCTTCTCACTCACAGATGAAAGGCCTTGCATCGTTCTCATCAAATTTTCTCCTGAGTTCGATTTAATCGCGACATTACCATTACTTTTCTTCACATCGGCATCATTAACTCTATTAACAAGTTATGCTGTATGGGTCCTTTTATCATCTTCCTCCACCAAACCGGTTATCACTAGATCTGTTATACCGCCATACTCTCCACTTTTCTGTTTGCTGCTGGTTCTTTCACTCTCTCGGTTGTTCATGGAATCAGAGTTACTTACTGAAATTTCATTAGCCATCACTGGTTGTCCTTGGTTCGGGATTCAAGAAGAGATTGAAATATGTGGAGACTTCCTTGCAGGTTGCAAACTCCTGTCCATCGGGACTGTATATACAGTGAATACATAACCAACAAGTACGAGAAATTCATAACCATGAACCAAAAGTGATAACTAAAGCAAGAGTACTGGAACGGTAAAGAAGACAGACTATACCGATACGCAAATTGCAAATATGTTTCAGATAGAGGGACAATCAAAAGTCTAGCAGCAGCAACTGAAACACCATCGTACACCAATTCTGAATCCATAAAAGAAAATCTCCAATGCTACGAAGTGTGTTTTAGTTACTATTTTTTGCCAAACGCGATCCTCCTCAGCTCCTCTCCATATGGATTCTCTCTATTGAGAGAGAGGAAGAAGATGAAGATTTTGAAAAACTGTAGAATTGAGAGAGAGAAGAGAAATCTCTGTTTTAAACCCATTAATTTTCTGGGTTTTGCTCGGTAAGAGAAGAGAAAAATGAAGATTGAAGAAGATGACGAGATTTGATTTTCGAATGAAGATTGAAGAAGATAAAGATTGAAGAAGATGAAGAGATTTGATTTTCGATTTGGAGATTTTTAGATTTTCTATGTGTGTGAGACGGTGTCGTTTTTGTGTTTATTGTCGAGTTTAAACGGGATTTTAACTCTGTTATATCGAGCTGTTAGTCAAGTTAACGGTATGTCTAAATTGGCTCGGTCAATGAAAGTTTAGGATTTAAAATGAAGTCAACATAAAGTCTGTTCTTTAATTTGTCTTTTAAATGGTCTAAATTTGAAAGTTCAGGCTTTAAATGACTTTTTTTCCAAAACAAATTGTTTGGATGAGAATATGCGGAAGTGTAGTCTAGGTGGGAATATGCAGAACTTATTAAGTTTAGGGGGCTGAACGCAGTCAATTTAGTTTTTAGGTTTTTTAAAATATTTAACACATGATTAGTTTAATTATATCCATAATATATATTTGTATAATAAAATAAACATATATTTCTATTAAAAATGGTAGAAATATAACAGCACAATTTATTTTTTAAAAACAAAACTAATATTAGTTATTATACATACATAAAACAAAATTAAATTGACTGCGCTCAACCCCCTGAACATAATAAATTCTGTATATTCCCCCTACACTATACTTCTGCATATTCCCACCAAACAATTTGTTTTCTGCATATTTCTCCCCAAACCGCAAAATAACCAAAACGCGATTTTGTAAATTGATCGTAATTTTAATTTCTAACTGAATCTGGGGGAATAGGCAGAAAAAATAAATTGTTTAGGTGGAAATGGACATAGGACTTTAGTTTGGGGGGGGGGGGGGGAGAGAGAGATTAAGTAGACAATGTATAGTTTGGGAGGCTGACGGCAGCCAACCCTTGAATTTTCAATGTATCAAATAGACTTATATAGTACAAATATATCTAAAGTACACAAACTAACATATGAAATTTACATTTTTAAACTAATCCAAACTCTTATGGAGAGAGGTCAGAGATTCCACTTTGTTCATTTGGCCACAATTACATATATTGTACCACAATCACACGATTGAATATAGGAGGGGGGGGGGGGCTTAATTTCGTCACTTAATTTCGTCTGCAGTTTTGGGCTTTGGCGGTATTTATCATGCACTTCTGGGACCCGAAACTCTTGAAGAATCTTTTCCATTTTTCGGTTATGTATGGAAAGATAGAAATAAAATGACCACCATTTTGGGTATTCACTTAATTTTGTTAGGTGTAGGTGCTTTTCTTCTAGTATTCAAGGCTCTATATTTTGGGGGCGTATATGATACCTGGGCTCCAGGAGGGGGGGACTTAAAGAGTGACTTGGTTTTCTTTCTTCTAGAGAAAATTAATTTATACAATTGTAACTTTTTGATTTATAACAGATTTCAAGTTTCTAAAGCTGATATAGAGTTCCATATTGTTCGTTATAATGCGATATTGTGGAAAAACTGAAGTAAAACCTAATTAAAGAACCGGTGATTAAAGACAGTTGCTCACCATTTCTTAATTTTCATTTGCAAAAGTTCATGAAACATAAAACTGAAAAGATTGTTTTTTCAAATAACATATAACGATAATCTTCACCAATATTGGCAAATGATTGAGCTACCTAAACTATCAAACAAATATTATATCAATTATTAAAGAACTCATATAATAAAGAAGTTTATTATTAATTGCCATTTGTTTTCTTCGTTGCATATATGAACTAATTATAAAACATCTATGTACACATTGAATCTTAAAAAAAAATTGATAAATAGAGAAATGCATACTATATGAAAATTAAAAACAAAATCCCAAGGTACAATATGAAACAAAATGGAGTAAGGATTGAATTTTTCTTTTTAAAAGCACCAAGTGAAAGGAAAGCTTATGCAAAAAAATTTTGAAAGTATAAAAAAAATACTCATGGTGTTTCACTAAAGAAATAGCATTATAACATAAGATGTCCAAATTTAGACAATAGATTTCTAATATAATATATAGGTCTTGTGGATACTATTTACATAAACAAAAAATATAACAAAAATACACATCAAAGTATTATACAAAAAAAACAAATTTTACCTTTCATATTTGCAAAAATATGCATTAACTCTTAAAAAAAAAGTCTAACTAAGCCAAAAAATACATTAATATATCTTAAAATTATTATACAAATCATATATATATATATCCTTCTGATATTTACTTCGGTCGACCATATCTAAGAATCACATGCAAATATACTACTCTATAATTTATCACAATATTAAACACAAAATTAATTGACAACTTTTTTATAAAACTACAATATAATTATATAATCCACGCGTAGCGTGGGCAAACACTAGTATTTATATAAATGCAAAACAGTTGTGAGATTGTATTTTTATGTTGCTTACAACAATCTCAAGCATGAGACACATTAGACTTCATTTGTGATAGAGTTGTGTATTATTTATACCACATGTGGCTCATCGCTATGTCTTTTTTTTTTTGACATTCTCATTGCTATGTCTTTTGGATTTCCAAATGTTTGTACTCCACTTATTTAAGTTTAATTTGTTTATTATCACTTTAGTTGTCATTAATTAAAAAATAAAATTTGTGTTTAGTAACGGCTGATTCTATTTCTGGTGAGTCAGAGGTGAGGTGATTAGAAACCGAGAAGACGGTGACTCCATAAAATAAACTTTTGTTTAAGCTTTATAATTGAGTTTTAGTGTAATTCGTTTTCAGTTTTTTTTTAGCTTTGTTTTTTTTTTAATTGAGAATTTAAGAATTATCAAAGTTTTTTATAGGTAAAATTTGAAGAAATTTTGATTAATAAATTATTTAATGAAATGACTTTAAACTATTGGTTGAAGAAGATGACATAGCAGTTTTGGAATCTACCATTGATTAATTATTTTTGCTGATGTGGTAGCCCTTAAAAGCCTGAAAGTCTATTAAAAAGTAAAACTTGTGTGTTAGTGACGGCTGATTCCGTTTCTGGTGAGTCAGAGGCAATATTATTGGAAACCGAGAAGACGGTGACTCCATAAAATAAGCTTTTGTTTAAGCTTTATAAAAGTTTTTTTGTAGATAAATTTTAAAGAAATTTTGATTAATAAATTATTTAATGAAATAGCTTTAAATTATTGGTTGGAGAATATGACATAGCAATTTTAGAATATACTATTGCTTAATTATTTTTGTTGATGTGGCAGCCCTTATAAGTCTAAAAATCAATCCCTTTTATATAAAGGAGAATATGAAGTGATCTTAATAAATATGTTCTCCTTGACCTTGAGAGATTGTTTGCCTTTTGTGGTAGTCTTAATTACTCTTAACCTGGCTACAGATTTTCATTTACAGATTTACAGTCAACCAGAAAAGGATTATTTTGGTTCAAAATGTTTTTTTTTTTAAGATATAAGAATTTTTTTTATTAAATTTCAAACAATTATTTACATGATGTTACACTTTATAATGATGATCATAAAAGAAAGAAAAAACCTTGAAGACAAGAACATAACTCTTCTCTGATATTACAAAAGCCGCAACACAAATTTTATGTTTTTTTTTTAATGGAAAACTGAAAACTTCAGAAATTCATCCACCTATTCTTTTTTTTTGTGTGTGGAGGTATAGAATCTCAGGTTAGGAAAAATCAGACGCCATTTGAGACAACAACACATTGGAACTAAAAACTAACTCTCCATAGCTCCAAGAATCTTGGAAACACGATCTGAAGCCTTAGGGCAAAACAGCTTCTTCAGTTCATCGTACCTCTCGACATCAAAACCATTAACATTCATAAGTTTTCTCTGTTTCGCCTCGAACCTACTCTGGTAAAACCCTTCAAAGGAAGGCTCTTTCGATGTCCTGAGGAAGAAAGTGTACCCAGCCATAAAGTAAATGGACGTGACGTAGAAACAGATCGGCTCCATCACGTCCCAAGAGAGTTCCCAAAACGTAAGCCTCATGAATCCAGCGGTCTGTAGGATCAAGTAACCGAGACCAGCCCAGAGCTCCTTACGCACCAAAGAGTGCGCTTTCACGTCGATCACTGCCTTAACTGCCTCGAGCTCTTTCAACTCGATCCTTCGTGGGTCGTTTGGGTTACGGATCTTTGGTAAAGGAAGCAAGCCTTCAATGGATTTGGTAACCTGATCATACACAAAGGGCCAAAGACAAAAACAGAAAACGTCTGGGTAAAACAAAACCTCCACCACCTTCTTTTGGGACACAATTAGCACTCAAAAACACACACACAATACAGTAGCTAAGAATCAATGACAATGTTAAGTCAATCAATCCATCCCAATACCCACCAATTGACCAGAGAACGATGATTGATTAGTCACTCCATATAAAAACTAACCCAGTGATCATCTCTATCAAATTTTTAAATCCCAACATCCCCAAAGAAACTGTTAGTAAAACGACCAATGCTATAATAACCTAAGCTTCTCCAAATCTCTCTCTTTCGAAATGTTTATTTTGGGTTTTGGTATCAAAATCGTAAAGGGTATTGACTCAGTTCATCCTAATCGAATCAATGGTTTTTTTTTTGTGTGGTCTCTGTAGAAAGTGTTCCTCTTTATCACCACCTCAAACTTGGGAACCTCCTATGTGACTCTGGTAACAGAGGTTTTGAGTTTGCCTGTTGAATTGGAAGAAGAAAAGAGATAGAACCGATGAAAATAGTATCAGTTTTCGGTAGCTTCGAGATCAAAAATCGAAAGAATGAAATTTTTTGGGAACCTAATTTGTTTTTTTTTTCTTTTTCAGAGAGTTTTTTATCTCTCTCTATCTCTCCCAACCAATACCGTTCAAACAGCTGCATACTCAGAGATTGTGAAACTGAATTCAATGTAGAAGATGATTCTGATTTTCAGATTCGAAAGTCAAAAGAGGAAAGTACCTGATCTGGTCTGAGACAAACGGAATCTCCCAAAACGATGACGTTTGCTGAATCGTCAAGCATCTTCGCGATTCGAGATCCGTGATCTGGATCTGAAGAAGCTTCACCGCAAACGCCGACGAACTCCGCGTACGGCATCCAGCTTCTCCCGGTCTCCCTAAGCTTCGTTTTCACGATTTCGATCTGCGCCGCCCTAAGCAGCTTCTTCGTATCCGCCACCGTAAGACTCGGCGTCTCCTTCTCCGCCTCGGGAATCGCAATCGGCGGAGCAAGGCCGTCTAATCGAATCCGGTCCTTGCTGCCGTCGATTTCCCGGAGCTTCTCCATTAGGCTCTCTCCCACCGGCATCTGCATAATCTCCGGCCTAATCATAGCGCTATTATGCAGAAACCTCCGCGACATCCCGGAATCCCCAGGCTCCGTAGCAATCTTCGCCTCTCCCGATTCTTTCGGAACTCTGGTTCGTACGGCCAACGAGGACGACGAAATACGACAATTCATGAGACTCTGAGACGCCACATTTGAGATGTTGAAGAGACGCTTCGACAAAAGTTTTCTCATCGCCATTGATGAACAATTTTTTTTTCTCCCCTTCAAGAGAGAGAGATTGAAATAACAAAGAATTAATGTTTAAAAATATGAATGAAATATGAACAGAGACGAAAAGGGTTTATATAGGAGGCATCGTTTCTGTAACAATAAGTCAATAATACATTTAATTTAAATTATTAATTTCTATAAATAAAAAGGACTCGTACACGTCAGCGTATATCAGAACGTACACGAGAAATTCATTATTCATTATACAAATTACAACCCGACTTTTTCCGAATATTCGCTTTCGAAACTTTTTTGTTTTCGCGAGAAATTTGGAGATTTCGATAGTTGATAGCCGTACACGTGTTAGGGTTGGTAGTGGTGATAGCTTGCGGTGGTATCACAGCCGTCCGATTATATCGTTTTCCCAGAAAATTTATAATTGTTTTAGAAACTAAATTTGTTTCACAACGGCAAAACAGAGCAGAAGAACTAGGAAACGAAAAGTCTTTTACGTGTACGCAAACGTGGCTCCACGTATTTTTCTTGTTTTTATATTCTTTTTTTACTTTAACTAATTTACTAGATTACTTGCTATTTATAATTAGTAGTAATATTTTTTTTTCATAGTTTTCAATAAAAAGGTTTTAAAAAAATCAATTGATTTTATCAGAAAAAGTTATTTACATACTGTATTAATAAATAATATGGTAATTTTTTAAAAATTTTTTTATCATTATGTGTGAAAAAAGTTTTGATTTCATAACCAAAAGGGGGTGAGAAAACAAGCATTTATAATAATCATGAATAATACATATAAAGAAAAATAATTTTTCTTTCCAATGGTTCAGGATTCATTGAGATATTTGGAACATGCGATATAGAATATGCTAAGGAACAAGTGGAACAGATAGACAAGTGGGTTATTTAAAGTAAATGAGAAATAATATTTTTAAGTATTTGTTTACAAAACTTACTTGATGATAATTAAATAGATGTTGATTTTCTGCATCAATTGAGTGAATAATGTATAAATCATTTGACTTTCATTTTATTTATGTATAAATACATGAAAATCAACTTTTATTTAATTACAATTTTTTTTCCTAATAAACATTTTTTGGGGTCGTATTCTAATAAACTTTTAAACTAGGCTGTTTAGTGCATAAATTTCTTTTAGTGCAAAAAGAAAGATACTTTTGGCATAATTAGTATTTAGATTAATTTGTGAGAGATAAGTTTATACTTTTGGCATATGTTCTGAATCGTACCGATAGTTTGGGAGCTTTGATTTCCCAACCTAGTGAAAAGGAAATGAATTTGGTAAAATTATTAGAGAAGTAGCAAGTCGTATATTGACACGTGGATAGTATTATTACCGTCACCAGTTACGAACTTGTTGGAAGGTGACAAGTACCGTCCACAAAGTTGACAAATTAGTTTGGCAAAAAGTAGAAAAAAATCTAACCATATGGGTTGAGACTTGAGAAAAGTGACCAAATTAATTAGATAGATGTGGTCAATTATGTCTAACAAGTAATTAATCCTAATTGCGTTATCAACAATGACTTGAGCGTAATGGTGTTGCCAGCAAATGGCAGTTGCTAATTAATAATTAGACCCATTTAATAATGATACCGCAAACGTTCATTTTCTTTATAAAGGTTTTGATGTTTATTTTCATTCATTAATTTTTTAAATTTTAATAAAAATAATACTATAGATATTACAGTAGAATATATATAAATTAATACTCGATTTATTAATAATTACTATTAATTAATTAATTTTGTTTTTTATATTATTATAAATTAATAAATTTTTTACTAATAATATTATAGGTACTATCTGTTATATATAAATATTCTGATTAAAGATGGCGTCAAGGAAGCATATTCTCGGACAATACGACAAATTCTTTTGATTAACATCTACCAAAAGAAAGGGGCCAAAGGACATATCCTGAACAATAGTTCATTTGCCCTCATTGCATAGTATTGAATTGTAGAACGGTTTATAAGGATAACAACAAGAAATCATTATGAAATAAAATAATATATATATATATATATATATATATATCAAAGATAACATATGATATGATCATATGAAGGGATTATATCCAAAGCTTTTCACATTGCTTGTACCATCGCCTCAAGACACGGAAATTCCAAAACGGATGGATGCAATTAACCAGCATTATACACCATTAATTTGATTTCTATTTTTATCAACAATATATAAAAATGGGAACATGTTTAAGACATTTGGTCACATACAAGGACAGAAAAGAGATTATCAATCGTTGAAATTTAATGTATGAAGATTCGTGTCGAACTATATTTGATTTATTTTAGAAGTTTGGTGTTATGGCGAAAGGGATTGCTCCGAGTTTTGGGTTTGTGCCAATAAGATAACTTTTATGATTGACGTTTTGTTAAAAAACATGAATGATGGTAGTAATACTTAAGATATTATACAATAATTCACATCAAGACAATCGAAATCTAATCACTGTCTCGACCAAAACAAAGATAATGTATATATATTATACTACGAATTTGTTAGAACGTATATATGATCCGAGCGTGATTCAGTCTCACGAAAATTAATTATCTGTTTTAATCTCTTAACTGGAAAAATTACCAACTGAACATTGATGATAACTAAACAAAATAATTTGGAGAAGAACCCAAGTGCAATGATAAGTAGATGATATAGCTATATGTAAGAAAAGAGAGAGAGTAGAAATCATTAATTATAATCGTTCATCGTAAGATCTAAAAAGATCATTTTTTAGCCGATTGGTAACACTTGTGGAATAGTGGAATGCTGGAAAAACTTAAAAACGTAAAAATTTTGCTAATCAAAAAAATTTGCGGAAAAACGCAAAAACGCAAGATTTGCGGAATTGCGTTTTTGCTTACATCAAATACAAAGAAATCTTCATTAAGCGGAAAAGCGTGTTTGGAGTAGATTATTTATGGAATCAATATTTATATTATTCAATTATATTTTATTATTTAAATAAATACAAATAAATAATTTAGTGTTACAAAAAATTATTTAATGATAAAGTTATATCTATTATTTAAAGTTTGTAATTTTTTTTAATGAAAAACAAATTATTAAAAAGTTACAATTAGAATTATATCATTTTATAATAATTGATTGAATTATTAATATTTTTTTATAATATATAGTAAAAAGCAGAATATTTTCAATAAGTATATTCTGTAATTCCGCAATTCCGCCATAATTTATCCAATCGTATTACTTAAGTTCCGCAATTCTGCAATAAATTATTTCACAATTCATTTTTTCCGCCATTCCGCAATTCCACAATTCATGTTAATTTTTTTTGTCAAACTAAACTACACGCTGGACATCATAAGATTAAGATCTACAAAAGGGTTTTTCTGATTAACCTTAAAACGTTAAGTTAAACTAATAATCTTTAACCATAACCATTAAGGCCAGTAATCCTAGACAACTCTTTTTTTACTTCATCTACTTACCAATCATAGTTTTGGTTTCTTTACCATGGAGCCAACACAGTTGTCTAAAACTCAGTAGGCAAACAAGAAGCAAATAAGGAAGAACATGAATTAAGGAAGCAATCAATCAAGGAACCAAGAAAGCACGCACCCAAAGAAGCGAGGTAGTCTTCTTCTAGAGCAATCTTTTCTCTTGCAGCCTGCCTTAAAATTCATATCTGACACAAGATTTAAAATCACTCTACAATTTTAAAATAAATGGAGATCAAAATTGATCAACAAGCTGGTGAAAATAGTAATAGTGGTGGAAATTTGATTGACTTTTTTCAATCCTTAGAATGATGGATTCATTCAGTATTTTAAACTAGATTTGCCTGAATTACACACATACTTATATTCCAAGAATCAGTAGAAACAAATAAATCTTTCAAATGAATGTAAAGACAAGTACAATAGAAACTCGATAAATTAATATACTTTATAAATCAATAAATTTCTCCGGTCCCAAGTTGGACTGGTGTAAAATATAATACAAATTGATAAAATAATAAGATAATATTTTTTTTAAAAAACCTGTGTAAATATATGATCCCATTAATATCATAAATTAATAATTATCATAAATATAAATTTATATAAATAAATAATAATGTTAATCTATTAACATATGAGTATATTGTTGTTTTTCATATTAAAATTAAAAATATCTTTATAATTTATCTCTAATTTTATAGTAATAAAATTTTGGAAAATATTATAAATTTTAAAGAAAATATTATTTATTCAAAATCAATAAATGAATAACTCTATAAATTAATAAAATATCAAAGTCTCAACATTATTAATTTATAGAGCTTCTACTGTATTTAGACAAATACACTCTTTGAATAAAAAAACAAACTTTATATTTTCTTAGTTGATTGAAAGGTGATTTAAAAATAAAACAAAGCTAAGCTTATATAGGCTTGCTTATACAGGTCCGAGACATTTATGTTTAAGAGAAAATTATGCAAAAATCAAAGAAATATAAAAAGAGAAATTAGTGGGATTTTAAGCCATTTGATGAATGGTGAGCAATGGACTGAATGAAAGGAATTTGTTGACTTGTATTTTGATATCTTTCTGATGAATAATGTCCAAAGTCATGCTTGTCTTAGACCACGAAGAGAAGGAGCCGTTAGAGAGTTAATGGACCAAATGTAAATGATTCCATATATGGTAAATATAAGTGTGAAAGGATCCGCTTAATCGTGTGGGTGCAGATGTATGGTAAGATGTTTTCTGATCCTCCTGTACGGTTAAATGTGTCTCCTTAATGCTTAGATGTCTTTCCTAGTCGCCCAGTTTTCTGATGAGTTAAGTTTCTAAAACATCTGGTTTTGTTGCTTCATTCGTCGTGGTTTGGCCGGAATAATTTGATTAGTAATCGCATGTCTCCAGCATATCCATTGAAGATCTGCCAACTTATATCTTTAATATTTTTTCATATAAACTCTTTTTTTTAGCTGAAATAAATTAGTATCATTTGGTCATACAAACCCCAGAAAAGTTAACTTATTAGCTAGAATATTAAACCAAATGTCTTGTAATATTAAACGTTTGGAGGATTTTGTTCCTTGAATTTTATTCATTATTCATCCTATTTTTCTTTTTAGTT